TTAGATAAAGATTTTTAAAAACGACAAATAAATATTATAAATCAAAATTAAGGAAATGTTGTTGCAATTTAATTTTAAAGAAAAATAAAACTGTAAAACTTGATATATGTTTTAACATTACATAATTTAAAGTTTACATAAGTTGGATATTTGCATACACTTTTGTTCACATTTTCTGATATAAAAAGTGTTGCAACTCTTTCTCGCCATTAACTCGGATGTAATGACTGCCATGTGTTCCGTGTTCACTCTCTAATTTTGTTCACACTCACAATTTTGGCGTTGAATTGAACTTTAATATTCATTTTATAATTCCCCTCTACATATATATATATATATAACAGGTTTGGTCAGGAAGACGTGCGATCGCACACCATTATACATGCTTGGACAGGAATGGCGTGCCATTGCATTCTGTAACTGATCACGCTTATAGTTTTTTTTCTTTACAACTTGACCATGGCTATTTTGATGTTTTAACAATTTAAATGCAATAAAAAGTGTTGAATAACCTTTAATCATTGATCTTTTATAAAGTTTTTATTTTAAGTGAAGGTTTTAAATAAAACCATATAACTAATTCTGTTTTTAATGATTGTTTACACGTGTGTAAATTATTAAAAAATGTTATGCATTTTTTTTATGTAGGAATGTATTTTTTATGATAAATTTAAACGTTTGAAACTATTTTCCCATGTTTTCCTAAAAATCTTTTAAAGCATTAATTTTAGAAAGACTTTTTTAAAGTTACTTTAATTTATGAATAAGTTCAAAACCTTTTGCAACTACTAGCTTTTACACATTTACATTTAAATGTGAATTATACAAGAATACAAAATAACTTTATTTACTTATATAACCATGTATTTTGTAATAATCATAAGATTAATTTCTATAACTAAACTAACAACTTTTAAAAATTATTTAAAAACAAACATTTTATTTTTTTGAAAAAATTTTTTTTTCTTTCAATTACAATAGGAATGAATGAGTTAAAATCATTTATAATAATTTTTAAACTCATTACTTGAAGTGCTTATTAATAAAGTTGTAATGCTCAAATTAAAATTAAATTAAATTGCTTGTTAGCAGTTCATTTTATTTAAATCGCAGGCACATTTTATTTGATTATTTTTTCCTATTTTTACGAATAAAAGAGTTGAAAACCTTTTTTTTAACTAGACTTGGTAATTAGAGCGCTAAGTTATTTTTTTAAATAAATTTTTTTTTGCAACTTTTTTGAAAAAATAAATGTTTACAGTTTAAAAACATTAAATACAATACTTTTTAATAAATTTGATAAAATTTGTTCATTAATTAAATTTAGTAATTTGCCACTTAATTTAAAAGCGTTTTGCGTAACTTTAATAAAATACCATTTACTATATACATACATACACTACCATTTACTCTTGTCATGATAAGAAGCCTACACTCTCTGATTGCTTGGAGGGGGTATCTGAGCTTGAAAAGGATCTCACTTCTGCTACAGCATGGGGCTCACAGTGGCTGGTGAACTTTAATTCAGATAAAACTCAATTTTATTTGGCCAATCGTTATCGTAATAATTTAGATCTTCCTATATTTATGAATGGTAATGTACTAGATGAGTCATCTACCATTCATCTTCTAGGATTAACTCTTACTTCTGATCTTTCTTTTAAACCGTATATCAAATCCATTGCAAAATTAGCATCTGCTAAGGTTGCATCTCTTTATCGAGCTCGACACTTTCTTACTCCAGATTCTATTCTCTATCTCTATAAATCTCAAATCCGTCCCTGTATGGAATACTGTTGCCACATCTGGGGCAGATCTTCTAATGATGCTCTTTCTCTTTTAGACAAGGTGCAAAAACGAATTGTAAACATAGTTGGACCTGCTCTGGCAGCCAATCTCCAACCTTTGTCACATCGTCGTAATGTTGCTTCTCTTTCTCTTTTCTTCAAATACTATAATGGGCACTGCTCTAAAGAGCTAGCGTCCCTTGTGCCATCTACTAAAATTCATTCTCGTGTTACTCGCCATTCAATTAAGTCTCATCCTTTTTCTGTGACTGTTCCTAAGTGCTTCAAAAACTCTTATTCTTCTAGTTTTTTTCCTCGAACATCAGTTCTTTGGAATTCGCTTCCTTCATCTTGCTTTCCTGATTCATATAATTTGCAATCTTTTAAGTCATCAGTCAATCGTTATCTTGCTCTACAGATTTAGTCTTTTCTCTTCCAGTAACTTCCAACTCTTATAGTGGTTGCTTGCAGCCTTGTTGGAAGTGAAGATGTTAAAAAAAAAAAAAAAAAAAAAAAAAAAAAAAATGTTGAAAAAGATTTATTTCAAACCTAATTAAAAAAGTAACAAAAAGTTTCGCTTAGAGTTAAAGTTTCAATTTTTAATTTTTATTTTAGTGCTTACATAGTTTCTTTTTCGTAAATAATTTTTTTCGTTAGAATTTTTTTTTCATTTTTTTTCATTTTTTAACTTTTTTCCTAGTTTAAGTTTTAACTTATCGTTTCTACATTTTTGAAATTTTTAAATCATCAAAAAATATAAGCTATTGTGGTCGAGTTGTCAAGAAAATCATTTGCATGGTCAGCAATAGCGCTCAATCGCACGCCATTCCCATCTAAATCTGTTATATGACCACACAAATAAAACTTTATTTTGACAATTTGACCGTGGCTTTTAACATTTTAAAAATGCGCTGAAAAAAATTATTTTTAATTACGCCAAAAATAAATAACATTGAAACTTTTATCTCTACTAACGTTTTTACTAAATGCTTTTAAATAAAGTAGCAGTTACTGTTAATATTTTAATTTAAAGTATAGATGAAAATTGTATAAATTTTTATTTATATTATTTAAATATATATAAGATAATAAAATTAATAAATAAAATAAGATTTTTTTATAATTAATCTTATTTACTTTTTAACTATTTAAATTTTATAAGCGACGACTTTAAACAACGATTGTCTCTTTTATAAACATTGTTTAAGAATCATTTAAGTTAATATACTCAAAATGATTTTGTTGAGAAGAAAAAAACACAAACTTTTGAATTAAAGACAGCCGTTTGAATTAAATACTTTTGCTCTTTACTAATGTTTTTATATTATTAAAAGCTTTAAAAAAAGTAACAATTCACTACTAATGATTTTTTACATAAAGTATTAATGTATTTTTATTTAGTCTTTAAATGAAAAAATTATTGATTTAAGTTAATATACTCAAAATACAACAGATTTTGTTTGCAAAACTGTAAGTTAAAAAATATATATATAAATTTTTTTTCTTCTTTAGTCTTTAAATTAAAAAAATGATCAATTAAAATTAACAAATTAAATTATTAACAAGTTAAATTAAATTATCAATTAAAGGAATAGTTTTGTTCATTATTTTTTGTTTGCATCTTCATTTTTCCTCATTAGCTTTCTAACATTTCTGACAAAAGAAACAGTTCAATTATTTTTCTTTAGTATGCATTACTGAAAAAATTATTTTTATGAAAAATGATTTTCATTTTTATATTTTTTTTATAATTTTGAAATCTAATTTTCAAAAATAAAATAAAAACATTGAGAATTTTTTTAAAAACATTGAAAATGTTTTTAAAAATATTTTAAAAACATTCTCAATATTTTTAAAAATATTCTTAATGTTTTTAAAAACATTTTCAATGTTTTTAAAAACATTTTCAATGTTTTTAAAAACATTTTCAATGTTTTTAAAAACATTTTCAATGTTTTTAAAAACATTTTCAATGTTTTTAAAAACATTTTCAATGTTTTTAAAAACATTAAGAATATTTTTAAAAATATTGAGAATGTTTTTAAAAACATTCTCAATGTTTTTAAAAACATTTTCAATGTTTTTAAAAACATTCTCAATGTTTTTTTAAAAACATTCTGCATTAAAACACTGCATTAATTTTGAAATAATCGAGTGTTTCAATTATCTAACTTTTACTGGCAGATGCAGAGGCAGAAGTTGTGAGTTTTTCTTGTGGAAATTGACAGTTGGTACATAAATACATAAAACCAGTCTTTGACAGGGCTGCCATTTTAAAATAGGACTGATTGATTTGACAAAGAAGGTAGGTGCATAGAATGTCAATGACATTATTTTGTATTAAAACAAAAACTGATTCACAAAAGCACTTAAATGCATGCACCATCACTGACTTATCAATAGCTGTTTGATGATAGAGTAGGGTTGTTGAGGCTGATCTTTTAAAACTTGGATTGTTATTGCTCTTTTAATCTATTAAAGTTGAGAATGGAATGCCATATTTGAATGCAGCTTTCAGATCAAATTATTTCATTTATATCAGGTTTTATAACATCTTTATTGTACAACCTTTTTTTAGTTTGACATCTTGAATAGGAATGATTAATTTACATTTTTGATTTATTTTTGTAAAACAACTTAAAACAATATGGAACAATTATAGAAAAAAATACATAAAAGTCGTAAATTTATTTTAGATAGGTACCTAATTAAAAATTTGTATAGGTACCTAGTAAAAAAACTGAAAACTAATTGCATGAATGATTAATTTTACTAAAAAAATTTAGACTTTTTTTTACTTGGATTAAATCTTAACTGTAAAATAAAAAATTTATATCATCAGTACTAAAATCAAATTTTCTACAAAATTATTTTCAAATGATATTATGGTTCCCTTGTTTCTATGATAGCAAATAAAACAAAAAAGCAAATATTTTAACTCTCTTTAAAAATATTTATAAAAAAAAAGACTAATAAATGACTTGTATTGTTTTGACATATAAAGAGGAGATTCTCTTTTTACTAGTTTCATATATTTATTAACACTCTTATTTAATCCAATGTTACTTAAATTTTTTGATCAGTAATTGACTTGTTTTTTCTCTACAACTTATATATAAAAAGATCAATATATGTTAAAATATGTAAAATTGTTTAATATTAAAACATTGTGCGTCAATCAAAATAAAACAGTAAACAAAAGTAAATATTTACCTAAAACAGTTACACGTGTTACACGAGGTATATAGCTATATCCAGCTACTTCACAAATATAGTTACCACTATTTGAAAGATTGCTGTTGAAAATATTAAGAACAGCTTTGTTTCTTGAAATTTGATTTTCAACACTCGAATAATTATAAAACCACGAAATAGTTGGGGGAAAACTAAAAAAAAAAAAGAAAAAAATGTTTATGTATTAAAATTTTCAAGATAAACTTAAAAGTATAAAAAGAAAATAATAAAATATATTATTTTTTTATTAAAAAAAAAAAGTTATGTTTTTAAAGAGTAATCAATCCTGTGATAATAAAATAAGCAATTAAAAAAATATCATTAAAATAACCTGCAATTATTAAAAAATGCTAAACACTCAATTGATATTTCTTGTCCAACATATAATGTAACATTAGGTGACACTTCTATTAAAGCAAGACTATAGTTGTTTTTACAATGTAACGAGTCAGGTGAAATTCCTAAAGATAAATGTTTTTAAACAATATTATCTTTAAAAATATACCTTGGTAGTAAGAAAATCTTTTCCATGATGTGTAATTTAATTGCAGAAAACTCTAAAATATTCCATGATAGCACCTGGTTTTTGAATTTCATTGAATTCATTGAACTCATTAAATTCATTAAACTCATTGAATTTCATTGAATTCGTTGAATTTCATTGAGTTTCATTGAATTCGTTGAATTTCATTGAATTCGTTGAATTTCATTGAATTCGTTGAATTTCATTGAATTATATATATATATATATATATATATATATATATATATATATATATATATATATATATATATATATATATATATATATATATATATATATATATATATATATATATATATATATATATATATATATATATATATATATATATATATATATATATATATATATATATATATATATATTAGGGGCGTTCAGAAAAAAAAAATTTCAGAATTTAAAAAACCAAACCATCTAAATTTGAAGCAAATATGTTTAAACTTACTCACAAAAAATTTCAGCGCCATTGAACCACTCTTTCCTTGCCCTCAAAGCACATGTTTGGAAAAAATAAGACCTAAAAATGACTAAAATTGATTACTTCAAGTGTCTTGAGGGCAAGGCTAGCATAAATATTTATAATATAATTTGTTTTTTGTGTTTTTTTTCTTCTCAAAAAACAGTATAATTTACATTTTTAATTGGCTGTTATTATCCTTTTCAACAATTAAATTCAAATTTTGTTATTTAGATTCTTTTATTATTTGTAATACTTTAATCAGAATAAAATAAAATACTTCTTAAGTTATGACTACAATTTACTATTTATTATTTGTCTTCAAAAATGACAGTTTGCATTTTCTTACTTTTTTGCAAAATTTGGAGATTTTATTGCGAAAAATGTTCCTTATGTGCAGTATCAATGTAATCAATAAAAACAAATCATTAAGAAATAAAAAGGTTTTTTTCAAATTTACCAAAAATGTTGATTTTGTAACATATGTGGTTTTTGCATATCACAATTCAATATTACTTATCAAATCAAAAAAAATATATTTTAAATATTTAAAAAGTTTTTGTAAGTTTCTATAGTTTATCTTTTTTTGTTTGTTCGTGTTTTGTTTATTTGCTAAGAAGGAAAGACTATCAGATAATTTTTTTTTTTTTGTAAGACTAGTAAAGCTTTTCCCAGAAATCCTGAAATAAGAGCCAACTCTGTCAATTGATATCAATCTATTCTGTTTTCCCACTTCGTTACTGTAACGATGTTCATTTTGCTGCATATAACGATATTACATATAACGATGGACACCATGCCGACGGCTCTTTCCAAATGGTTATTGACAACATTAAGACTATTGGCATAATTTTCAATTATAAGTGAAGACTGTGTATGCCAGTATTGCGGTGGAAGTGGCCAGTCTTTTACTCTTTCAGTTTCAGTCTTTTCTTTTATTCATTTAAACCACAAAAACTAAATATAAGGTAAGAAAAGTCATCTACCAAAGGGGCTAAGCTCGGTGGATCTTGCTCAGTACCAGCATTTTTTTCTATCTCTTTTATCTCTTTTCTGATGTCTTTCTTTTTTTCTTGTAGAGCTAGTGGAATCATAATTGAGTTTAAGTACCAAGTCTGCTTGTAAAGCGAATCAAGCACAGCATCAACTGCTTTTGGATTCCAACAATTATTTCTAAATTGATGCGTCTGATGGATAGCTTTAATATCTAAGCAGGGGGCCTTTGACACAATACTCAATTCTAAAGACCACTTAGCATAAAAACAGACCACAAATTCTGCAATAAGCTTTATTTCTTTTTTTTTGAGATCATTACTATTTTGAACTAAGTCAAGTTGAGAAAACAAAAGCTGCATTTTCAGATAGTAAATTGCTTTACCAAGTAAACGGATATGATGGATAGCTCCAGTTTTCCTGATTTTATAAACAGAAGAGGATAGATAAGTAACTTCTCCTGCTATCCCCTTTCTTTCTATTCATGCTTTGCAAAAGTTCATAGAACCTTCAGCAGTTTCTTCACTTATACTACCACTCACCTCCTTCCAGTTAAACTTGTACAGATTACTTGGCGCATAACTAAAATTAGGACGTCAAATAGGCTCTTAAATTTTTGAAACAATAAGTTTTCTGGTCCTGTAGTCAACTTGATTGTTGTATATTTCCACAAATGTACCATACTTAATTATGTTATGTAATGCCTGCATGCTAATTTTAAAAGATATTTATTTAAATTGTTGGATATCTTTATGAACAAACCATTTTTGATCCCGGTATTGTTTGCAGTGGTATCAAAACAAAGAACTCCTACTTTTGATTCAAGATTATACTCCTTTAGTAGGTTTATAATACTTGTATATTGATCCTCAACAGAAGAGGAAGTTATAGGAGGAACACCTAGTAGGTGCGTCTCACCCTTAATGTTTACAAGAACTGCCAGCCTGTCAACCTTGAACTTTTTTCCTGCATTAATTTCATAAAGAGGTTTTCCATCAAACTGTATAACACATGGATAAGGAGAAGCTTCTATTGCATTTTTTATATCCTCTTTTGTTAAAGTTGAGATATTTTTATTAGCTAATTTCATTTTTCTAAAGGGTGTTGATTTACTGCAATGTATATCTGTAAGTTCAACACCAGCTTCAGTTAAAATGGTACTTGGCACTTTTTGTAAAACATTTGAAGAAAAATCACTTAAAGTAGCCATTAGGGCAACGTTATCGGCATACACATCTGTTGGAATTTCTGCAGTTACTGTACAGTTAAATTGAGATGGTTCTTTTTGATAATAGTTACTAGGCTCAAAATCAGAATAAGATGAATCAGAATACAAATCAGAATTAAGTTTAATTTCATAACTAGATTTTGTTAATCGCACATCCTTTGTTCTATTTTTTTTTTCTGTTACTCTCTGCTGTCTACAAGCATAAAATAAGATTAATTATAACAAAATGTTTTATAAGAAAAATATCACTTAATACTTTTACTTTTTAAGTTTTACCTTTCTACTAAATTTCTTGTCTTCTGTCCTAAGAATAAACTTACTTTCTCCTTCCAGATCTTCTAAAAACATTAAGTCTTAGAGCTTATCCTTGTCAGATCTTTTTTTGTCGGTCCTAATAATGTTATTCAAATCTGGCTTACCTACCCAAAGAACCTTTTTTAAGTAATTCTCAAAGTTTTCTGATTTATTAAATCTTTAGGAGAGCCTCTTTTTTCGTTTTTTTTTTTTTATTGAATACTTATATTTGTTTTTAAACTCACACTTTTCGTTTCCTTTATACATATTTCTTGCAAGTTAAGTATTTATCATTATCATTAATCTTAATAACCAAGAATATATTTGTAAATATTATATAAGCTGGAAAAATATTCTATATTATCATTTAAATATTTGCTATATTTTGTATAGTTAAATTTCACTTGTTAAACGATATATACAACACAATATATCTTAATTTGTGTTTCATATTGCTTCTTATAAAATTACAAATATTGTACTTATAAGTCAAGAACATATTCTTGTTTAAACATTAAACATACACAAAATGAGTAATTCTATTCTTATTTTGAATATATACATATGCAAATTATATTATAAATCTAAATAACAAAGTTTGAATTTAATTGTTGAAAAGGTTATAAAAACAACGCCACATCACGTAATAAACAGTTTTTAGCTGATTTAAAATGTAAATTATACTGTTTTTTGAAAAGGAAAAAAAAAAACCATACTTTTTTAACCAAAAATACAGATATTTATCTGTATTTTTGGTTAAAAAAGTATGGTTTTTTATTATAATTGATTTTCGGTCATTTTTTTTCCAAACATGTGATTTGAGGGCAAGGAAAGAGTGGTTCAATGGCGCTGAAATTTTTTGTGAATAAGTTTAAACATATTTGCTTCAAATCTAGACGGTTAAGTTTTTCAAATTCCAAAAATTTTTTTTTCTGAACACTCATATATATATATATATATATATATATATATATATATATATATATATATATATATATATATATATATATATATATATATATATATATATATATATATATATATATATATATATATATATATATATATATATAATTATATATATAAATATATATATATATATATATATATATACATATATACATATATATATATATATATATATATATATATATATATATATATATATATATATCAAATTCGATTTTCTCAACGCCATGCGCAATCTTATATTGCTGAATTAAATCAGTTCTAGTTCGTCTACTTTCTAGTTTAGTTAGGCCTAGAATTGTAAGCCTTTCTTCATATGATTTATGTTTGATATCTAAGATCAGCTTAATCACACGCTTTTGAATGTTTTCGAGAGCCTTGATATCTCCACCAGATAATACCAAGTGTTGGCCCAATGTCGGAATTTAGTATATGGGTCACGGAACTCAATAGGATGTCCTGCTTATGTCTATATCTTTATGTCAGACCAACCAATTAAAAAACGTCTTTTCTACTTCGGTAGGATAACGTCTGGCCAACCACATTATTTTTACCTCCTGCCTACGTCTATATACAAGAATTTTGAAATGCGTAATCCAGATGTCAATACAAAGCATTAATGCTTTGTACTTACATCCGCATTTGGCATCTATAACTAAAAAAGATAATCAGAAAGAAAGAAAAAGAACCTGTAAATGTAAAAATTCTTCAAAGACATGATGACTAGCAAGTATGTTACTTAATCATTACATTAAATATACTACAAAATTTAATTTTTGATTAAATCAATAAAGTTTAAAAGTTTTGTTGCTAAATATTTATAAAGTGTTAATTATAAAAATGAATATAATTATATTGGTTACAATTTGTAACGAGTATAATAATAATATAATTATTGACATTTGTAGTACAAATGTCATTTTTTGTGAAAACCGATGTAATTATATTGATTTTTGTAACAAATGACAGATAAATA